TTTTTAAGGTTTCGAAACTGACAAGAGGAGATGAAAGCTTTTGAGTTATAAAATTATACATAACTGTAATGAAATTAAAAAGAAAACTGTTAATGTTTAAGCATGATAATAAAAGTGTTCTTTTTTTTTTTTGTTGCTCTTGTTATGTAATTGTCAAACGGAAATCAGTCATAAATTTAAATAATTTATTCAGCAATAAATCGAAAAATGATTAGCGAATTATGAAAATGCAAATGCTTCCATAATATCACCTATAGCCACTCAGTATGACTTTGAGTGTACTATTAAACCCATACATAATTAATGGCCAACCGAATGTGAGGTGTACGGTAGAAGTATTCCAATAGCAAAATAAATAAATATGGAAGTCCTTTCATATATGTATGTATGTATGTAACTATTTTATAGTAGGAGTATAATGGGTTTTTAGACCTTCATTCATGCACTAAAATTAACATTATTGGTATCTGCGATGCGGGAAAGTGTACACACACACTTACACGTATATATTTGTATATATATATATATATATATGTTTCTGAAGGGGAAACACGCTGGTATGTAATGCGTTAAATATTGTAGGAATCACAAGAGTACATGAATAATCAGATTAATTAGATCACAAACCAATAATTAAAGGTTGAATAAGCAGGCAGCTTTCTCGCTCATTCATGGCAAGTCGGCTCTCTTACTAGAAAACCAAGAGCACAATTTCTCATTATATAGATTTTAAATAGTAGTAAAAAATTTTGGATTTCATTGAGAACATTTGTTAGGCAGCGCGTACTCTTTCCCAATTGGCTGGTTGAGTTTGTTTGCTTTTAATTTTTTCTGATTGATGATAAATATATAATTTACTTTATTTGCACTTATTTTTTTACATTTGACATATTTTTTTTTTTTTTTGGTAAGCTTATATTCGTGTGTATATAATATATTATGCGAATATTTATTAATGGTTTCTGGTGATTTTAATATATTAATCCTTGAAATTTTTTTTCGTAAGAGAACCTGTTTGAAGCTTATGCATTTCCGATATGTCTATGCAAGACATGACGCAAATGACTGTAACATACGTGCTTGTTTGCTTTGACAACAGGCAAGAGGTTCTTCTTGTAAAGCAGCTGCATATCTGCGGTTGCGAATAGCTTACCTTTGAGCGTGGAATTGAAATTTTTTGAAAAAAGCGCTTTTATTAATTAATTATGTATTCGCCATCATGTTCGGTAATCCACTCCCAACGTTTAACCAATTTACGGATGCCTGATTCATAGAAATCGCGGGGTTTCTCTTTGAAAAAGGTGTCAAGGTGGTTTTCGACGTCTTCCACATTTTTAAATTTTTTTCCATTCAAATTATTCTGCAGCGATCGAAACAAATGATAATCAGAAGGCGCAATGTCGGGTGGATGCGGCATGATTTCCCAATTCATCTCCTTCAGTTTGGCCAGGGTCGGTTTTGCAACATGTGGCCTGGCGTTGTCATGATGGAAAAGAACTCCTTTGCGATTGGCCAAAATCGGACGTTTTTCATCAATTGCTTTCTTCAATTCGACCAATTGCTGACAATACTTGTTGGCAGTGATCGTTTCTCCAGCTGGCAAGAGCTCAAAATAGATCACGCCTCGGATATTCCACCAAATGCACAGCAGTACCTTCATCGGATGCAATCCACCTTTCGACATCGGTTTCGCCCCTTCGTGTGCCTGTTTCCATTTTCTTATGCGTTGAACATTGTTGTACAGGATCCATTTTTCATCACCAGTCACGAGCCGATCCAAAAAAGCTTCGTTTTTGATCCGTCGAAGCAAAGAAATTGCTGTTGACATACGGTCCACTTTGTTTTTTTTCAATCAACTGATGTGGCACCCATGTATCGAGCTTCAAAGTGTACCCAACCTTTTTTAAACGATGAAACGCAGTTGATTTGTTGACGTTAAATTCACTGGCAGCCTCTTCCGTCGAAATACGTGAGTTATTCGCAACTAAAGTCCTTAGAACATCGTCCTCAAGCTCAGAAGGCCGTCCACTGCGAGGTAGATCTTCGAGGTTAAAATCTCCAGAACGAAATTTTGCGAACCATTTCTTTACTGTGCGGAGTGCTGGAGCACGGTCCAAATTAACTTCGCGAATATCTTTAGTTGAAGCGCCTACTGTTTTTCCTTTGCGGAATTCGTATAATATAATATGACGCATATGATCTTTTTCGTTGTCCATCTTCCATGCGTATTTTCACTTAGCAACTCAAATCAAAATGAAGTTATTTTATGCTTGATTTACAAATCGGACCGTCACCTTTCTAACGATATATAATATGTATATATTTCTTTCACGAGCGTCACTCTCAAACGATTCGAACGGCATCCAGCGGAATCGGGCACGAACTTATGCACTCATCCAATACATGTGCGATAAACAATAACAAGAACTACTACTTTACTATAAATATTATATTTGTACAGAGATATCAATAGATTAGAAGGTAATAAGGACATAAACTTTACTACGTTCGAGTAAAAACGAACTAAAAATATTTTTGTTCAGTTCATTAATGATTTCTTCATGGATCGACCAACGGCTCTTTAGTAAGAAGTCGGTTATATAGGGCATTGCTATAGAAAACCATAACAAGTTTCTTGAAGTATTTTTATGAAAAGAAAGCCGATCAGTAAATGCAATTTGCTTCCCTAAAACTCAACTTGAAGACCAAAGTGGTAGAAAACCGGGTATAAACAAATCTTACGACTGAAGTAATTAACAGTCAACTGTTACTTTAAGTTTCTACATATAATCAACTACCCAAAATAAGCTAATGAACAACTGGTCAAATGCAAATTTCCCTGCAAGCAACAACAGTTTGCTCTGCTTCCAACAGAGTAGCCAATGTCTCTTATTTCGCAACAAAGACTGAAAAGGAGTTATATGTGAAAAAATTGCCATTACTGTAATCATTTTAACTTACGAAATGTGATTCAAAGTAAAAGATTATTTTTTCGCATTTTATATATTTTGCTTAATTGGTAAGCAAGAAATTATTGCTCAAAGTCAGACCTATTCAGAGAGATAAAATGAGTAGCCGCAGAATAACTAGTAAAAACTCCCTCATTGCATTTTTGGGCATAAAATTATTTTTATTTTTAATTTATCCATAAAAGATGCTCATTTTAAAAAAGCTTCTAATCAATTTTTTTCACCATTAACTATGCTTTTACGAAAAGCTTTATGACTTCTCTTATATATTTTTAATTTTTGATTTAAAGAAATTTTTTTGATTTCAAATTTTGTAATATTTGTCTAAAATCTCTGATATGTAATAAAAACCGATTAGGTAAAGAGTGATTTTTAAGAGCTACAGAAAAGTAAAAAAAACACACTAAATTCAAAAAATTCCAGAAATCTTTATTTGAATCGATAGTACGGTCCAAATAATTTATTAATTAAACGGTCCATCCGCTTAGTCCGATTTTGGCATACTCTTTCCTACATTTCGACCGGTATCTCATGAAAAAATGCTTCAATATTGTCCTCCAATGCGTCAATTAAACCCCACAAAAAATAGTCTAAAGGCGTTAAATCGCCCGATCTAGGTGACCATTTGACCGGTCGAACTGGCCTCTCAATAACTCCATTGTTATGCGTGCCGTGTGGCATGTGGCACCGTCTTATTGAAACCACATGCCATATAAGTCAAACTCTTGCATTTTGGGTAAAAAAAAGTTCGATATCATCTCACGGTAGCGTTCAACTTTCACATTTACGTTACGATTCACATCATCTTTGAAGAAGTACGGTCCAATGGTGCCACTAGCTCTTGCATTGCTTGTGGCTGATCTTCACTCCAAAATCGACCATTCTGCTTATTTAAGCACCCATTAAGCCACAAATGACCTTCGTCGCTGAATACAACTCAACAACTTTTTTAATTCTCATAACAGCACGCATTTTGATAATAAAATTCAATAATTTGCAAGAGTTGTTCGTTTATAGACCAAACTGAAGGTATTTGACAGTGATACAAAGCGCGAAACGAGCGTCAGCTATTTAAACGAGTGTTGCCAATTATGAATCGGCACTTTTCTCTAGTGAATAATTACCAACCTCTAAGGTATCGTGCAGTGCGCACCGAAGACTCGAATGAGTCCATCCGCCAACGCACGCAACAAATAGAGCTCGGCCTATACACTTCATGGCAGATTTTGCGAAAGTTGATTTGACGGCTTGCAAAGTCCAACACGAGCAATAATTGAAGCCAAACGAATGAATGGGCTCAAAACGAGATGGCTGCCCATACCGATTTTCATAAGAAAATTTTATTCAGCGAGGAAGCTCAATCTTGGTTGGATGGTTATGTTAATAAACAGTAGAGAGATGATAATAAATAAGCGATTATTGCGACGTTGTCACTGTTCGGTGTGCTCTATGGGCTGAGGAAATCATTTTGTTCATATTTCTTCAAAACTGAATCCGGCCATAATGTTGCAATAAATAGGGAAATCTACAGAGCTTGAATTAAATAGCGTTTAACGTGCCTGAATTGAAAGACATAATGGAAGACGTCCTTTGAATTCAACACAACGACGCTTCGAATTATTGAAAGCAAGATAAAACTTCGTGGTGCTGTATCAAGGCTTCCAAGATCGTGCGATTTAACAGCGCTTGATTAGCTTTTGTCGGGTTTTGTGAAGTCTGTTGTCTACGGATAAGCCCGAGAAGATTGATGCCTTAGAAGAGAACTTCAGGCGCCTTATAGCTGATATACGGACTCACTTACTAAAAAAAATGGTCGGATATTGAACCACTCGACTGGAATTTAAAGCTGAATTCTTGAAAATCACATGTCTAAAAAAAGCACGTCGACCACATGAGAGCAGCGAGGCTGATTTATGGGTTAACATATTTTTTATCATTTAAATGTGATTTATTCATATACAAAACATACAATTTTCACCTTCCTTCGGCTACAATGTATTAATTTTACGCAATTATCTCTTCTCTTTTCAGTGCCGATGGCAATTACGAAGTGACAATAATGACAAAAGCAATTTTACATCACACCGGCAAAGTGGTGTGGAAACCGCCCGCCATTTATAAATCATTTTGCGAAATCGATGTCGAATATTTTCCATTCGATGAGCAGACGTGTTTCATGAAATTCGGCTCATGGACATATGATGGTTATATGGTGAGTTGAGTTTAGTGGAAAAATAAAAATAAATTAAAAAAAATTAAATTTATAAATAAAAAATATAATAAAAGAATTAATGAAGCAACTAAAAGGTTACGCTCGCTTCCAACCGACTACTCAGTGTCCAGCGTTTTCAATTTAACCGAGAGGAGAGCTAATGGGCGATTTCAGTTTGTGAACGTAACACCAGAAACGAGGAACTTATAAAAAAGTGTTGAATTTAATTTATTCAGATTATCGGTACTAACTCTGTAATTCTTTTGTTATTGTTGTAAACGCAAAAATATTCCACGAATTGGTTTTCGGAGAATATTACGGATAGAAAAAGCTTTTGCGGGATAAAAATCCTACTGTCGGGAAAATTATTGGAGTTTAGTCGCCTTACCGCGGTTAAATTCTTGAATATCCCTAACCTACAAGTTGAATGTATGCACAACTACTAAAGCGACTTCCAGTTGGGCCTTTAGATTTTTTTCGGATGTTTATTCTAAGCCACTTCCGAATGACTGACTTGATGGCAGTGTTTTGACCAGCTTGTGGCTACTGAGTGTCACTAATTTCCGAGATCGGTGAAGCATATTTGCAAGTGCTGGCTAGCGATTTGACAACTTTTTCGCTATTCTGCCCCTTTACCTGCAGGCTATTGGTAAAGATGGTAGTTGAAGACTTCGCTGGTATAAATTATAGGTGTCTTACAGTGTAGTTTAAGTAGAAAATGTCGGCGAGATAGCAGTTCGCTTTCAAAGAGTGATTACCTATACGAGTATACTGACCAAAAGCCAATATCGAGCAGTCATCGGTATATGAGCTCAATGAAATGCTCTCTGGTGTCGGAAGGAGCTTCGATATGAAACAAATAGACAAGAGCGGAATGAGGACAACACCCTGCTGAATTTTTGCCGATGACACTGGCCAACTCAGGTGTTCAATGTCCACCTCTTCAAGGCCTTCAATTTCCGATAGTAGCACTGAATGATGCCAAAAGCTCACAACCGTATTTTATGCGGCCAAGAGTTTTCAGTTTTTCAGTAATCTAACTCCGTTTAGGTCAACAGGTAAACCTAGTCATTGGATATTTGTGTTGTTGTTGTAACCGCAAGAAAATACCTCAAAAAATATAACATTTTGAGAAATACTGCGGGAGTGGCAGTCCGGGTAGTTGCGGTGTAAAGACCCGACTGTCACGGGAAGTATTGGATTTTAGTAGCCTCTTATGACAGGCCTGCCTTACCGCGGGTAAATTCTTGAACCCCTAACCGCAGGGAGTCATTGGATATTGTCATTGTTCATGCTTCTGCAGCATACTGCTTTATGCTAAGAATATGATGAGCAACTTGTATGAACGCGTAGACGCAATTATTACCGGTAAAAACAATGCACAAGTCAATTTTACCCACCATATGAAGCCAACTGGTGCAGCTGGAGTGAGGGATCATCCATCTAAAACCTCATTTGATAATTTGATAACGAAATATGCAGAGAGGTTCTTTCTAATTCTGACTGCGATCTTGGTTGATGTACGCACCACGGCTTCTTCGACACAACACTCATTATATTCAAGCTCCTTGGAGAAACTTACCTAAATGAGCGAAAACTTATCAACCTCGACTTCTTGACCCAAAATATGGTTATCTATAACACGGAAAACCCTGAAATTGTAATATGAGGATTTATGTTTTTCGTACATGCATGCAGTTCCATCTCAGCTGCCTCCGAACCGCTGATGGATGATGGATTTTAATGAGGAGCTTCTCTTTCATGACAAAAATAAACAAAAAGGGGTTGGCGTTTCATACTGAGGTGCAACCGTATCAACGTCACTATGTAGTATATAGCCGTATAAGTTTTGTGGCGATACCAAATTCCGAAATGGTCCATATCGATTTTAATCTGGAAGGAATATTTCCGTACTCTATGCATGGTGAAATTCTAGTCTGTGGCATATCGACCGATTCTAAGCTCGCACTGTTAATGCGTACGCACATCAGAACAGAATTAGAGCAGTACTGCCGACGTTAAATAGGTTCCCCAAAGGCTTAGCTGAATCTCACGCGCTCTTATAATTTAAATTATTTAACTACTTGAGACTACTTGGTAGAGCAGGGTTCGAGTGCTGATTTGACCACTTAAAATTAATTCTTCTCATTGCACTCGGCCCTAGACGGGGATGATGAAGGCCCCCAAATTCATTTCTGACATGAAATAAAAGTTTCTCATACAACAAAAATCCAACGGTAGCTTAGAATAACCTTTAGGTCTATTTATTCATTCAAGACGCGAAATTCCCTTCAGCGGTTAAAAAGTGATGTGAAAGATTCATATCTACTTATTTATATACATATGTATGTAGAAACATACATACACACATGTAACTAAATATTCATGTTAACACGTGTCTGTGCTTGTAATGGACACTGCTACATTATGCGATGGACAACAACAATGACATTTTGAAAAATGTCCAGCTGTCAAACTGATGAACAAACATCATATTCATTCAAGTACACGAGTGGGGTGTGAGAGGTGAAGACAATCGAGACAGAGAGCAAAGCAGAGAAAAAATGCAATGACAAATGTCAATAAAGTCAGCAGACATGGGTAATTTCAAGAGGAGCAAGAAATGTTAAAATCAAATGAGGTGAAGTGAGGTGCTGAAGCTATAGACCTGATGTAATGGGATTTGAAGTGACTCGGCACATTCAAACAGATATACAAATACGTACATACAAATATAACATGTAAAAAGGGCACCGCAAGTGTTGCTCTCCTCAGCAAATACAGTTGCTATTCTCTGAGAAATTATTTAAGAAATGCAAAGTGAGAGCAGAAAGTAGTTGGGGTAAAAGTAACACAAAGGAAGCCAAATTCTCTATGTTATTTTTACTGTTATTTACAAAGTAAATAAAGAGCATTTTTCATAAAATGAGTTATTGTGTTTCTGCTTAATAAAAGCACACCCCAAACATATGCGTGACTAGTTTCAAGATATTATACGAAGATATTAACAAAAGCACGGTAAATTGACCGGAAAAAAAATGAAAAAATAATTTTTGTGCTCATTCCTAATCTTTGTGCTTTTTCAACTTCTTCACATAATCGCCTTTGATTTGAATGCATTTCTTAAGTCTTCTAGAGCCACTTCTGAAAAAAAAACTTCAAAATCTTGCTTTTAATTATCTCCTCGTTGGTGTTAAAGAACTTTCTTTTAAAATTTTTTTAAATTTTTAATAATCACCAGAAATCAAAAGGTGCTATATCCGGGCAATATGGTGCTGGACATATTTTTTCGATCTCAGAGATCGCATGAAAATCACGCGTTGTTTCAGCAGTGTGGGATGGCGCGTTGTCATGAAGTAAAAACTAACGCCGAACATTCTATTTCTTCCTAGTTTTGAAAACTTTTGGCAAACATTCTTCAGTGTACCATTTTGCAGCTACCGTCTGGCCCTTTTCCGGTGGAATAGCAACTACGGTTTTAGATCGGACGAAGTAAACTGACATCATTACTTTTGCTGCTGATTTTTTTTTTTGCTTAGATTCTACGGGTGGGTTTGCTCATATTGAGCTTCATACTATCGACTGCTGTTTAGTGTTTGGATCGTGCTTATAGAACCAGTGATTCGTCAACAGTAACGAATTTGCGAGTCGCTAAACTGACGCGACTTGCCAAACTGACCATTTTCGAATTTGTTTGGGAAAAATTGAGCAAAATGCACTCGAATCTCTTTTTGAGCCTCATTCGAAATTCAAAACGTAAAAAAAAATCATAGTCACAGACCGGCAATCCTCAAAGGCCCACTTCAATGCCGGAAGCCTCTACTGTCAACAACTAAAGAGCTTACAGTAAGCTCTCCAAAACAAGCGCCCACAATTGAACAAAAGCAAAGTTATAGAGTTTCCTCATGAAAACGTCAGAACACAAAAATCGCCATTTGATTCGGCCTCTAAAAAACCATCTCAATTGTAGAACAAACTGGCCGACTTAAAAGTATAAGCGCTCATACCCACTGTATAGCAGCCATAGGGTTCGATGTAATTGCTGCTATGCTGATAGTCCTGAATTCGAGTCCTGACTAGATTTGTTGCCCCTTGGTAGGAAGTGTTAACCCTTCCACCTATATTTCTGACATGAAATTAAAAGATCCTTTTTTTGTTCGGCGCCGGTATAAAATTATTAGTTTCTTCATTTTTTTGTGAGCAGCTCGGCAAAAAAACCTATTTAACGACCATGAAACATCCAATGTGCATATAGAAAGGGTAACTTTTTTTTAAACGTGTTGTTTACAAAGAGACTTTATCGGAGTTGGTATTTTTAAAAACCCAGTTTGGCTTGCCAACAGATTTACTCCAGAACAACGTTTGCAAATCGCTGCGTCCAATAATCGGTCGACATTATCGCCCAGCAGAGCTGGTAATTCAAACAATCACGTTTACTCTAGTGGGAACGCGCATCCTCAGAGGCTATTGCCACTGAGGAGCAAAGAATCGAAGAAGACCCGAATGGGTCCAACTGCCGCCACGCACGAAAATTCGAGCTTCACCTACCTACATTAAAGGAGACTGTGAAGAAGGATCTTGGTTTGCGGGCCTACAAATTTTAATTCGGGCAAAAAATAAAGTCAAACGACCATAAAGCGCGTCATGAAAAAGCCTCACAATGAGATCACCAACGCTTTCGATTTTCAAGAGAAAACTTTACACTGCGATGCGGCTCACTTTTGGTTGAATGGGAATCTTAATAAACGAAATTTGGTGGTATGATAAACCGCCCATTTTTGAGACGCCAATACGTCCTCAAAAAGTCACTATTTGATGTGCTCTATGGACAGAGGGAATCATTGGTCCATATTTCTTCAAAACTGTAGTCAGCGATAATGTTGTTGTAGAGCCATATTTGATCACTTTACCGTGCCTGAGTTGGAGGAAGTTAATGTGGGCGATTTTTGGCTCGAACAAAACAGCGCTGTGTTCCTCCGGACTCCGGACTATCTTTTGTG